GGTCGCTTTGGCGCGACTCGACCGCCAGTGGCTTTATCTGTTTTTCGGGTTTTGACTTGTTCCGTCGTTACGCGTATTTCGTCGTTTCGTTGATCTGTACGCTGTTTTGATGGCCGATGAGCGTGCGGGCCACTTGGTTTGCCGATTTGGTGGCTGGTGAGTACACGAGCCACTTGGAGGTGGCCGGTGAGTGCATAGGCTATCCGGTTCGCCGTTTCGCTTCATGTGTTCATCGGCATCGGATAATCCTCTTAGACTTAGATAGTGACATTCATCACATTCTCTCTGTCTCGAGCTGTGCGTGGATACCTATAAGCATTTTTAGACGTCTACAACTCCGTCCTCATCAAAAGACACAAATATACAACTCGCAAGAAATATAAACTAGATATGCTGTAGGAGGTGACAACATTGGCCATATCCCAAAGTTTTGTATTCCTGTTCAGAAGTCTCACCTCTCTTCACGTCAAGCAAAGCTATTCGAAAATCTAGGATGACCGTGAATGCTAAAGATATTCCAAAGCTGTCGAGCAAAGCTATTCGAAAATCTAGGATGACCGTGAATGCTAAAGATATTCCTAAGGTGTTTCCCATCCCTTTGCTTAACTGGGCAGAGGAGAGGATGATCTATCATCTGCTAGATCTAGAGTGTATACAGTCTTCTTGTACTTTCATTTTCCATTGATTAAGTTGAATGTCAGTATTATTTGCAAGACATAGGAAACAAAAGGGAAATATACCACAAGCGATTCCCTTTTTGATCAGTATTCATGCAACCGTTCTTGTGCAAATAGATGGAAAGTACTCTTTTTCGTTATCACATCATATTTTGACGTTAGAGAAAAATTTTAGTCTCGCGCTGTTTGTAAGCCTAAATTTAGTACTAATCATGTCGACGACAGTAAAGGACAATTGGGTTTAGTGAATATTAAATTCGATTGTGAATAGTATAATATCCTATGCTGAGAGGGGACGTATACATGACTTCAAAAATTGCAATTGTCATTGGTCACTTGTAAAATAGGATGGGTATAGTTATATAGACGCTTGTTTTGGCTCTAATTGCTACAAAACTAACTTAGGTTGTAAACATGTATAATTTAATTTTGTGACTACATTCATAAAATGCTCTTGCATCCATGAGGATCTTTTTTTCTTGCTCCCCCCCACGCTACGTAAAACCGGTGCCGACGCGTCCACACGCTGCTGCTGTGTAACCTACCCGCGTTGCCAGGGGTTTGGGGCTGTCCTTTTTCTACTGCGTGCATCACATCAAATGCTAATGTCAAAGCTCCGCTCCCCTAAAACCCCCACCGCTCCTATTAGTGCACCTGTTTTAAGCTTAAAAGTCCATTCCTCATCGAATCTCTTTTTAGGGAGACCCGTTATTTGTCTCCCTTTTTTTCTAAGATGATATATTGAATATTGTCCATGCCCGCGTTTTTTTTTTTTGGTCAACTCGTTTTAATTAGGAGAGGATTTTTTAAGCTTTAAGTTATCTTTCTTTGAGATGATTGGAATGTACTGAGGTTTGTAAGTCTAGTAGTTTTTAGGGTTAATTTCAGAATACCACCCTGAATTTCTTTGAGATGATTGGAATGTACTGAAGGGGGAAGTCCTGGCTTTGTTTCTCATGTGTTTGCCGCATGACACATTATAGTTGATAGTGCTAGTTGGGGGGATTAAATGAAAAACTTTAGGTGAGGTTTAGGGGGGAACAAAAAACTCTAGGGGTCACGTGCAATAACCCTATAGTTCAGTGTTTTCCCCCCCTTAAAGTAATCCTAAGGGTAAAAATGCCAACATCAAATTAAGCTCATATGAGGGTCATAACGAAAACAAAAACATATAGAACAAATGTGCATAAGCCTGATTTCAAAGATATTATTTCTCAAAACATAAGATTACAGATTCTTAAAGATGAATAGTTGAAGGAAAAGGCAACATAAGATTACAGAATTGTTTTTTTTTTTTTTTTGGAAGGGAGGGAAGAAGAAGAATAAGGTTACTCAAGTCATGTGACAACATTGAATGTTAAAGAAGGTTCCCATATGATTGTAGGAACTAGAGAGGTCTTCATCTCCCTCGAAATTGCCTTCATTTTTTTTTAATAATAATCTCTGTGGCCTTAGTTTGATTCCGGATTAATTTAATCGTTGTTACTACTAGGCTTAGCTTGCAGGATTGCATATTTTTCCTTACCACATTTAATGAGGGGAAGCGTGTTATTCGGGTAAAGATCCTTTGATACTATGCTTGCTTATTTTTAAAGTGTAGATCTATATTGGTGATTATCCTTGTTTTTATAATATGATTTCTCTTCAGGGGAAAAAAATTCCAAGAAAATTATATATCACATTAATTATGTTCAAGTTTCTCCTTCTCATCAAATATATACAGAATTTTACATGTTATCTTGGGTGTAATGGCCTATGATTTCACTTTATGTAGACTTCATATTTCCTTTGTGTTGGGGAATTTCACTATCCCCGCCTACTACAATATGCGCAACTCTGAAGCCAACCCACAATCAACAAGATATAAAACAATCACAATCAAGGAAAAAACATCGGGATTTACGTGGTTCGCTCGACCAACTTCAATCTACGTTCACGGGGCAACAATACGATAAATTCACTATGTATTAGGGAGAACTACAAGGGAAACCACTCAACTCTCGTCTCTCAATCTCTCAACCTCACATACATAATCAACTCTCATATTCTCTCAAAAACTCACTCCTTGTAATCTTTTGCACGAATAAAGATCACGAAACCCTCGCCTCTCGCACAATATTCATGAATCGGGCTATACCCTCTGCTAACTCTACATTACAAGAATATTAACTCTCTCTCATTTGCTTGGTTTTTCTTCCAATAATAGAAGAATATATATAGGGAAACCAAAACCCTATTTCTAGCCTAACTTCCTAATTAGAATATGATTCAAACTTCTAATTATGATGGAACCCAAACTCTTAATCATGATAGATCTCTAATCTTATCTAATTCTCATGAACTTCTACAAAAAATCAAAAACACAATCCCAACAATTTGTCCCTTCTTCTTCCTTATTATTTTATTTCTTTTTCAATAATTAAGGTGCTTGCTTATATAGTTTAGAGCTAAAGGATTGTGGGCCACACATGTTTGTCGGCCCCTTCTGTTTGAGGGGCTCCACTCTCGAGCTTCCAAGAATCCACTCACGTCTAAGACTAATCTAATAATTGATTAATTAATTATTACCCTTATCTACTGTTAAATAATTCGGAGATTAGGGAAGAGGGGAGAGCGACCACGTGAATGCCTTTCAAACAAACATTCACGTTGAGCCCCTCTCGCTAGCTCAGGAATTCCAAGGCCTTAATTAATTAACACTAGCTTTAGATTAATTAATCTCTATTCATATCTCTCTATACGTGAGAAAATTATAAAGTTTTTCTTCCTCTAGAGAGAAAGAGTCAACAGGGAACGTGGGAACCAAACAATGCCTCATACTTCTTATTTTCTTGAAATGCCCTTTTATTGGTAGTCAACTCTCTCCTCTTTCTCTCCTTTTATTTATAGCTTCATGACCTTGGTTTATGTTCAAATATAAAATTATAAACCCACAATGTTGACTGCGATTTTGGAGTTTTCGTGTAGTGAAAATATCAGATGATATAAGAAGCTAGGTTCAAATGCCATTGGATAGGTATTTAAAGCGGGTTTTTAAAGATATATTATTGTAGTGCAACATGAACCGCGCTTCTCCTTTGAATCTATGTTAATGGTACAAGTCAAAACATTTAATCCTCGTCATAACTTTGGTACATTAAAAGGGACTTTAAGTGTTTAGCTCAAACTGTCGCATTATCCTTTAGTCATACGTTAATGCAAATTGAAGATATTTCAATACTATAATGAATATGATTTGCTTGCGTAAATGCTAAGAACAATCTCATATCTAGTCTATTTGACCATGTTACTTTGCTCACAATCTCTTAACCAAACATGTGCCACGCACATGACACCGTACTATTATCTCAGTTTCCTCGGGTGGTTCATTGTATCTAAGTAAATAAAAGGATGTAATTGCTGAGACCCAACGGTGAGTATTTTTTGTCAACCATTTCTCGCTATGTGTCATTTAAGGATAATTTAAAATTTAAGAATAATTTGTTGTATAAGAAGGGATTTAGTTAACTAATACTTGTTAGTACTGCAAGAACAATTTGACAGTTGTAGCATAATTGTCCTCAGATACAACCTTCCTCCAACTAAGACTAGTACACGCCTGTTATCCAAATCATATGATTAAGCTCTCTTCTTAATTTGGAGTATATACACGTACGAATACAGATGTTGGCCGGTTATACAATATAGGATCCGTACAAAAAAAAATTTTGTTGAACATCTACATACTATATACTATATTGGCTAAATATCGGAAAACCCACCTTAACTTTGGACGATTGTCAGAAAAAACCCCTTAACTTTCAAAATATCAGAAAACCTAAAAGTATAGGGATTATCACGTACAAAACCCCCTTAACTTTTAGATTTTATGAGAAATTTCCTTTAACTTTGAGATTCTGATAAAATTCCAAGTTAAAAGGGTTTTTTTGATAACCCCTAAACTTAAGGGGGGGTTTTCTGATAATCATCCAAAGTTGGGGAACCTACTATATTTATCACAAACACATTACATATGATACATTATTAATGAAACTTTGACTTGGTAGTTGTCCTGGAGCTAAGAATCTTGATTATGAAAATTTCTGTTCCTGTGACTAAAAAGCTTAGGGATCATGGAAAAAAAAAACTATAGTATTCATTATCTTTTGACTACTAGGCCACCATGGTTATTAGGGTTCCTCCTTGAAAAGCCAAGGATCACTTATTGCTTTAATCTTATTTAATTTGGTTATTAATATACGTACCTACCCAATCAAGCTCTTCTTTATAAATAGGCTTGCTCCTCAACGTCTGCCTTCAGCCCTTTTGAAGTCTTGATTAATTATAGCCTCCTCATATACTACATATTTGATCATTGGAAAAATGGGTGGAAATTCTCCTTGTGCTTCATGCAAGCTGTTGAGGCGAAGATGCGCCAAGGATTGCATCTTTGCTCCCTTCTTCCCTTCCGATGATCCTCAAAAGTTTGCCATCGTTCACAAGGTTTTCGGAGCTAGCAACGTTAGCAAGATGTTGCAGGTAAATTCTTAATGTTCATCGAATAGGTTTATCGTCGTCACTATAATTAAACTCGATCTAATCCTAGGGAATTGACAATAGGGTTCTTAGAGCATCTCCAACAGCTTCCCAATTTCCCACTTTTGAAGAATTTAGTTAGATTTTTAGTCCAACAGATTCCTCATCTCATTCCCCAAAATAGGGATGGAAGAGAAAAAATGGGGAAGCTTTCCCAAATCTGCAGCATTCTTCAAATTTTTTAAGGAAAAAAAGGATTCTTCAAAATGGGGAAGCTGTTGGAGTTGGTGTAAAAATAATTTAGAGAATATGACTTTTGTTTCCCCATTTTGAAGAAAATTTTAGAGAAGCTGTTGGAGATGCCCTTATTTGTTTGTTATCGGGTCTCCAAGAGAATTGAGAATCAATTAATCGAAATGATTTATCTATTAGACATTAAGCCGAACTCTCTATACAATGAGCCTTAAACAGAGGTAATTAAGAGTCGATTAATCCAAAAAATATATTAGTCTGCTTTTACTTCTTCCAATTAAGTGTTAGATGCACGTAAACTTTTTGAGTCCTAAGCTAGACAAATTTCACTCAGTTGTATTGCTTTGCTGTGCCTGTAGGAGGTCCCATTTCATCAGAGATCAGACGCAGTGAGCAGCCTCGTGTACGAAGCCAACGCTCGGATGCGGGACCCGGTCTACGGCTGTGTGGGGGCCATCACCTTCCTCCAGAACCAAGTCTCTCAGCTGCAGATGCAGCTAGCCATTGCTCAGGCTGAGATCCTGTGCATTCAGATGCAGCAGGATCAGCACACGGCGAACGATCCCGATCAGTTGGGCTTTGAAGAAGAAGAAGAAAAGTGTTTCCTCTTGCATGATAATGGCTTCAGTGTAGCTCAGGTTCAGGAGACTCTCAAGAGAGAATCACTTTGGACGTAGATTTTTTTTTTTTAAATCTTTTGGTGAAGAATTAATTAGTAGTTTATATAAATATATGGGCTACATATACGACTACTGAACTATAGAAGGGTTAATTAGTCGCTTATTAACTTCGAATTTATTTACCTGCAAGACATTTGAGGATCTCTCTCCATAATATATGGACTTCATTTATATATCAGAAGAATGTGATCGAGGGGTACAAATAACTGAAAAGTAACTTCCTTTCGAAATCAGAGGGTCAAAGTGCTAATAATTTTTTTTTAGAACTAGCAAGTGAATAAATCTTCTACGATACAGAAGTTGTTTCTGTAATTAACACTAAACTTATTGATATATTTTTGATGAACTCGGTAGAATGTTAAACGGAGAGTTGGAAGGGAGTTCAAGTTTGTTTTCCTCCTCATCTTTGAAAGTTTTTAGCATGAAATCAATATGAAAACGATAGCACTTAGCGGCTGACCACGTGTTTTGTCTTGGGAATTTTGCCTATTTTGTCCCGTAGTAGCGTCTTGTAAGTATTAGAGTGCTGCTACGGGGACCCAAAATATGGGACAAATAGAGGAGACATGTGAGTGTCCCCTCCCTTGATCCCATATTTTAGGTCCTTAAATCATTTTCCTAAGTATTAATAGTTTCTCCGTGTTCATGTACAAAGATTAATAATGCTTATAGTGAGAGGCTGGAGACACCTGGCACTTAGTTAAAAAGTGCATGCAATATGCAAGTTGATGTGAGGACTTTTTGCCACATGTACGTTTTAGATTTTTCTTGGGTGCTTGAATGATCACATGATAAAAAGTGCTTGAATCATCGCATGATGGCTTACTCATTTTGCAATAGGAGGGAGACACTTCATATGTCTCTCCTATTGGTCTCATATTTTGAGTCATTAAGTAATTTTTCCCTAATAAAATAATAATATACACGAAAAGAGAAAAATATGATTAGACTGGAAAAGGAACCAAGTGATGGAATAAGCTAGTTATTTGGTGCGGAGAATTTTGGCTCTTTAGGAGCAAGATAAGACTTAAACAGTAGGCCATTTTGATGAAAAATGAAACTTAAGAAAAATGTAATATTATGCCCTATAACTTGGATGACAACATATGTTATTTCTAATTTGTAGATAAGTAGAGATCAGCCTTAAAGCTATACATAGATATAAGCATTATTGCACGTGCAAATGCACGTGTAACAGAAATTAAAACTTAAAAATTTTAATTTTTAGATAAAATGGGTCAGTTCAATAATGTATCGTCGATTTTTTAAGAGCGCTTTTATGGTGTTTGTTCTTTAAATAAGCTATGTTTTATTTATCTTATTCGCAATTGGTTATGATAAATATTTCAATTTGAGCGATGATGTAATTTTCTTAGATAATGTTCTTTAGAAGACGCTATTTTTTCATATTTCATTCAAGTTATTATTTTAATTATTTTTAGCCTAATTGTCTAGATATACACTTTTGATAATATTTACGTTGGAACATATTGAAATTATAATTGTTATTTTTTTGTATTTAATATTTATGTCCTTTTTTTGGAAAAGAACTTCGTCATTTCATATTTTAATCTTTTACAATATGTAATGTAATGGGTATGTTATTAATGAACTTTAATAATAAGCTCCTGACCACATTCCATAAAGTTCTAGAAAAGATAAATGAGGGGAAAAAAAGAAGAAAAAAGTACATCCATAAAATTATAATTCTACCCTTTCAAATACATGTTTTGCCTATCCCCACTATTTCCATTATGTGGTAGCATACAGATATTGGCCTAGATAAGATAACCATTTCATTATGGGATTTGGGATTAGCGTCAGTAGAGGATTAACGTGTCAATGGAATAGGGACCAAAGTAATTATAAAAAAAAAATAGATTATGTAGAAGCCTAAGATTAAAAGTAAACATTACGCAAGTCAAAACTCTAATCAGTCCAGGAATTAGCTTTCCTGGATTTGAAGAGTAAAAGCCGAGAGGAGGAAGTGAGAAAAGAAAGAAAAGCTTTTTGTACTTTAATTTGAGGGCTCGAGGCTAATGCACCAAGCGATGTCTCTTTCGTTCAAAAAATTTCACTCCATTTTCTTTGTTGCCTTGTTTTCGTTGAATTAAGAGAAGAGTTCAAAAGATTTCTCGTCCTCGATCCAAAGTTAGATAATTTTCTAATGCTAGAGAGTAATTGTTTTGGAAATTCTTGATAAATAGTCTTGTTGCTAAGATTTCCGAATTAAAATTGTTAGTTGTTTTGGTCAAACAATCCACCTCAGCTTAAAAAAGAAATTTGGCTTCTGTACATATATAGCTTAAAAAAGGAATTTTCCGTCTGGAATGCGTCGTTTTGTACCAGTGATATAGCTTGAATATGTTATTTCTAGTATATACATTTTTGTTAATTCAATTGCCTTCGACATCTCACATGCATTTTCATATTCCTAAAGTGTACCTTAAGATTTTGACATATTATTCAAAGCATTAGAAAACAGGTAGTATTATTGTAGCTTGATTTGTATTATTGGCTAGTAAAGCCACTTCCCTAGCTACTATCATTTCTTATATAGATAAATTTGGATTCAGGTTCTCTTGCATGTGACACCATTTGAAATCCACTTGGAATGTATGAGCCATAAGTTGTACAATTGTGAACATATATCTGAACAAATTTGTGACTTTTATGCTTTCATTTACAATTACTAATATTTCTCTTTTCTTACCATTCTTCTTAATGGGATTTTCTACTTGGTTCCCTTGACATTTCACAGGGTTAAAGTAAAAACAAAACAGAATGCAACTTACCAGTACAATCATCATGTCATACTCCCCTTAAAAGTGGAAGTTATGAAAATACTTTCCATAGACAATATTATCTCAATTCTTTTTCAGAAAAACTTTCTAATGACAATATTGTCCCAATTCTTTTTTAAGTGTTACATTCTAATCCTAACTTAACTAAATTAATTATATATGCCACTTGTCAAATTTGTATAAGGACATCTTATAGCATTATAAGTAATCTGTAAGAATAAATATTTAATTGTTATTTAGATATTAGTCCCAATTTCAAATCTTCAATAATTCTATATTAGTCCTTAAAAATTTTAAAATTTTTTCTAATTTTAGGGACTAATATTGAATTTTTAAAGATGTGAGAGGTAAATATGTGAATAGGCCATATTTAAAAGAAGGGTCAATTTTTAAAAACCCCTCAAGTATGGGGATTATCTCTGAGAACGCACTCAACTCATTCAATTTGAGAAAAAGCCTCTAACCATGGGGGTGTTGCAGATAATCCCTCTCAACCTTGGTATGATAGTAATTTTAGAAAACCCCCCATAATTTTTTGTGTGTCCATAAAAACTCTCCTAGTCTTTTACACCTCTCTCAACAAATTCCACTAATGTCGTTACTTCAGGATGTGATTTGAATGAAATATCCACTTTAAAAACTTATTTTAGTTAAAAAGAAACCCTCAACCGATAATAAAAGGACCCCAACTAATTTATGATGTTTTCCCCTCTATATCTCTTCTTTTTCTTTCAACCGGCAAAACCAAGATAATTCTTATATGACTGAGTAGTACTTGTCACATAATAGATTAGACCCAACAATGCTAGTTTGATGGGTAAGTGTGAAGTGTCAGGAAAAAAATCCTCAGCTATTTTTATATGAGAAATATCCTTCAAGCTTGGGGTACAAATAATCCATCTCAACCCCCAAGCTTGAAGGACTTTTTATACGTTTGTGAAGCACATAGCTGAGATATGGGTACATACTGCGGATAGTGGATTCTTCTAACTCATTAATTTAATTTTTTTGGATGTTGTTTAACGTTGAATTGATCTAAATTATTTTTTAAAATACAAGCTATATGAGTATATAATATATACAAGTCAATTTTTATTATATTTGATAATTTTCTAATGCTAGAGAGTAATTGTTTTGGAAATTCTTGATAAATCAATTAGTATAGTTGGGAAGATGCAGAAGGATTATAATATTTAATTTTAGAATTGATCACATAATTTGTGTTTTCTTTTCTAAATTTGCACATTTTGACTTAGAGAATTCTAAGGAAAAAGCTTTTGAACTATAATAATACTCGGTTGCTGGATGTAAATGACAGGTCGAAGTATTTTTTTATAATATTAGATAAAACATATCATTTTTCTTTAATGAATTTAAGAATTTATTATTTATTAATAATAATAAGAGTCTTTTCAATATTAGTCTTTTACACTATTAATGTTTTGAAATTAGTCTGCCAAATCATTGAAATCACTCTTAAGTCATTAATATTATAAGAATGATAATCATAAACTTTTCCACTAATATGTAATAGTAAATAAATAAACCTAAAATACCAATTAAGGTATCTGACCATGTGCAATGCACGTGCACTCCATCTAGTGCTTTTAAAATGCATGAATCAAACAAATAATCATAAGCATCCAAATTATTTTCAAATCTGGACTTTCTTGTGTCAAGAGGAAATTAACCATGTTGAGTTTTCTACAGCTAGCATGCAAAAGAAGTTGCAACTAAGATTTAATACCGAGGGCTTCCACCCATACAACTGAAGTTAGGCCATATGAGTAGGAATAAAGTTGTGCGAAAATGTCGTGCACGTTGATATGCTAAAATTTAAGATTATGTCTTACAAAGTATCAAAATTATTGCAAGATTTTTTCGTAGAAGGAAAAATATAGATGTTTTATTGCAATAGCCTATATCAAAATCTGACTGGGCTTGTGTGCCTGCTGAAGGAACTTCTGGTGGAATTTTGGTTGGATGGAATACTCTTAAATAGAGGAGTTTACAAGAGAAATCTGGCAATTATGTTTTAACAGTGGTTTTACAAAACAAAAAAAAAAGAGTTTATTTGGACTGTTTCTTCAGTTTATGGGCCACATTGTAGCAGTGAGAGACATTTTTTTTGGCAGGAGCTTAAATCTGTTAAAGATAATTTCCCTGGCCCTTGGGTTGTGGTGGGGGATTTTAATGTTACTTCCAATCCTAATGATAGAAAAGGTAAAGGCATTCATAGAAAGGAAATGGAAGATTTTAATGATGTTCTCAATGAATTAGAGTTGATTGATAGCCCTTTACATGGTAGAAAATTTACCTGGTCAAATAAAAGAAGATTCCCCTCTATGGCTAGGCTTGATAGCCCTTTACATGGTAGAAAATTTACCTGGTCAAATAAAAGAAGATTCCCCTCTATGGCTAGGCTCGACAGAGTTTTTTTCAACTCTGAGTGGGAGGATGCTTTCCCCTTTCAAAACAACAAGGCTTATGTAGTCAATTATCTGATCATGCTCCCATTAGTTTTGACTGTGGGGATAATCAACACTTTGCATATAAATTCAGATTTGAGAA